TAAAAGTGGTATGAAAATTGCAGAATATTTCTATTATTATAGCCACCAACAGCTAAATGAGTTAATCCTCCTCGAGCTCAAATAAACTAAAATTACTCACTGCTGCCCTCTAAAGGCATTAAAGCATCACTTTTGTTGTTTTCATTTACTTTATTATTTACTGTCCAAAACTACCAGTGAGCGAAAACGTCTGCTGAGCTTTTATATGTAAAGTTGATGATAGTAAAACAGTGGTAAATAAAAAAAAAAACAAGTTTTCTCTGGGGAGTGTTTGGCCCTACAACACCTTGCACTTACCCTGATCAGCCATAACATGAAAACCACCTCCCTGTCACACTCACTGTCCATTTTATCAGCTCCACTTACCATATAGGAGCACTTTGTAGTTCTACAGTTACAGACTGTAGTCCATCTGTTTCTCTGCATACTTTGTTAGCCCCCTTTTACCCTGTTTTTTAATGGTCAGGACCCCCACAGGACCACCACAGAGCATGGATCATTCTCAGTACTGCAGTGACAAAGGCATGGTGGTGGTGTGTTATTGTGTGTTGTGCTGGTCTGAGTGGATCAGACACAGCGGTGCTGCTGGAGCTTTTAAACACCTCAGTGTCGCTGCTGGACTGAGAACCCAAAAATATCCAGCCAACAGTGTCCAGCATCCCATGACCACTGATGAAGGACTAGAGGATGACCAATACAAACTGTGCAGCAGCAGATGAGCTATCGTCTCTGACTTTACATCTACAAGGTGGACTGACAAGGTAGGAGTGTCTAATAGAGTGGACAGTGAGTGGACACAGTGTTTAAAAACTCCAGCAGCACTGCTGTGTCTGATCCACTCAGACCAGCACAACACACACTAACACACCAGTGTTACTGCAGTACTGAGAATGATCTACCACCCAAATAGTACCTGCTCTGTGAGGGTCCATAGGGGTCCCGACCACTGAAGAACAGGGTAAAAGGGGGCTAACAAAGTATCAGAGAAACAGATGGACTACAGTCTGTAACTGTAGAACTACAAAGTGCACCTATATAGTAAGTGGAGCTGATAAAATGGACAAGTGTAGAAAGAAGAAGGTGTAATAGTGTTATGTAGACACCAGGTAGCATATTCATAACCAATTCATGTAATACGTTTCTGTGGTGTAGTTTTAGAAGCTTTAAACCAGAAACATCTGGTTCCTATCACCACCACTGTGAATAACTGTGACCCGGGTTTCTCTCAAACTGAGCCTTTCACATCAGACCACTCTGAAAGACTCTGTTTACATCTGGACAGTTTAATCATGCAGAAATTAAAATAAAAAAGTGGAATTTTCTTCCAAAAGCATCATCACATGATCTCCACATATAAAGCCCACGTCAAGCAACCATGGATAAAATCCATCACATGATCTGGGAGTGAACCAGAAAGTGTTAATTAAAAGTCCTACATAGAGCAAAGAGCCCATAACACACAATATCTGTTGATGAATTCGTTCCATTTGTTTTTGTATTTGAAGGATTACAGATGGAAAGAGCTGTAAGAGCTCTCTGAGTTACATCAGTGCTGTACTGTACTGTTTGGTGATGGATATGTTTTGTACCAGGGTTCAGTCAGAAGGCATCTACAGTATTATGAAGAGATGTGGTGTCATTTATAGCCACAGACAGGACTCCAAACAGCACACAGCTGGAGAAAAGTGAGCCTGATGACGCCAATAGGTAGTAAAATTACACTGAGATTGAGCCAAAACAAACACACACACACATACACACACACACACACACACACACACACACATACACACACACACACACACACACACACACATACACACACACACTACAGCATGGAGCATTCCTTCTGCTATTCTAACACAGCCATTTAAGGCTCAAAATTGCCTGGGCCTGCTGTCTCCCCTTCCTTTCCTCTTGCTCTCTCTCATACATGCACACCGCAGCAGTACTGGGTGATATATCACCCATGCCGATATATCGGTTTTGATATAATACAACAATCTTGATTTTTAGCTTTAGTGATGTTGATAAATAAAACCGTTTAATTGTTGTTAATTGTGCAGTAAAAAGTGCTGTGCAATGGTCAGAGACAGTTAGAGGTGGGCAAAATCTGTTTTCCTGATGTCACGATATTCTTTTTTTCCGACATCTGATCAGTTAGAACTGAGAAAAAAGAAGCAACAGTGCAACATTTTGAAAAATACTATAAAAAATACAAAATAGTGATTTTTTTTCAATATTTGGCACACTGTGTGGCAATGAATCCAGTTAAACAGGACTAAGCTTGCTCTCTTTAAAATGAAACCTGCAGTTGGTCAGTGTTCTACAAGTATTGACGATTTATAGCCACAATATGTTCAGAAAAGCATACTGTATTGTAATGTGTGACATATGTTATCACAATAACGATATATATTGTCATGCAGGCCAGCCACGTGTTATAGTTTCAAAACATAATTGTGAAAAATCATCCGCAGACTCAAATCAAACAATAAAATTTCTCAGTTTCAACATTTGATTTGTTGTCTTTGTACTATTTTCAAATAAATATAGGGTTTAAATGATTTGAACATCATTGCCTTTTGTTTTCATTTACCTTTTGCACAGTGTCCCAACTTTTTTGGAAATGGGGTTGTATTTTTATTTTTCAGCTCCAGTATCTCAGCATCTTGGCTCTATCAGCCAAGTCTGATACCGGATGAGCAGTGTTTTCCGTTGTGAGGTCACAAAATTATATATCTAATGTATATATATATATATATATATATATATATATATATATATGGCAGTTTAGCCCCGCCCATTCATGTTATTTGTAAGCTATAAAGAGTGTTTCACTCTGGACTGCTTCTAAAATAAAGCACAATACAGGGCAGCCAAACAGAACAAAGATCATTTGCATACAGTCATATGCAAAAGTTTGGGCACCCCTAGTCAAATTACATATTTTGCTGATTTTCTAAAGAAAGTTAGAATAAGAAAACACGGCCTCTACAGAGAGCACACTTCTGAACCTTTGAATGCACAATTACTGTTTATTTGTCGAATGTAATATAGTGAGAAATCCCATAAAATATAAAATGCCTGTGCGAAGGTTATGGCACGTTTCACATTTTATCTTTTATTTTTTGCAGTATGTTAAACTCAGCTAGTAAATGTGCAGAAAAATGCTGTGTTTAAGTGTTTTCTCTGTAGAGGATGTGTTAACTTATTCACACACATCATTTGACCAGGGGTGTTCAGATTTTTGCCACTTTATATCAGCTTTACAGCCACAACAACAAAAACATCCTGTTTACTTCTCTGCGATGGAAAACGGCTATTTAATGTTATCCCCCATCACACTTGAGGACTGGAGGATTCAAAAAGGCTGAACAAGGTACTCAAGTTCGCCTCTCTGTTTACCACTTTGCGTCTTAGTGGTCATTTAAATCTGGACGTCACTTACAGACCAGATAAACCCAGCACACTGTCATTTACTGAACCTTGCACACACTCAGGCCCGCAGCTGTATGTACACAAATAAACATGTGATAAACTTAGCTTGCAGGGATGTTGGGGAGAGTTCATGCGGTCACTGAAAGAACGCAAAGCGCAGGTTCTTTTAAGTCACAACATGAAATACAGCAGCACAGTGCCCCTTAGTGGACAAATCTGAAAATGCATCATCCTAAAACTCTTCATCTTTCTGAATAACATGATCTCACACAGAGCAATCGAGTACGGAGAAAGAGAATCTCCATCCAAAACATTGTTATCCTATGCAAATATTGCTGAAATATACACCAATCAGGCATAACATCTGTTTCTCTGCATACTTTGTTAGCCCCCTTTTACCCTGTTCTTCAGCGGTCAGGACCCCCATGGACCCTCACAGAGCAGGTACTATTTGGGTGGTGGATCATTCTCAGCACTGCAGTAACACTGAAGTGGTGGTGATGTGTTAGTGTGTGTTGCGCTGGTCTGAGTGGATCAGACACAGCAGTGCTGCTGGAGTTTTTAAACACCTCAGTGTCTCTGCTGGACTGAGAATAGTCCACCAACCAAAAATATCCAGCCAACAGCGTCCTGTGGGCAGCGTCCTGTGACCACTGATGAAGGACTAGAGGATGACCAACACAAACTATGCAGCAGCAGATGAGCTAACGTCTCTTAGTTTACACCTACAAGGTGGACTGACAAGGTAGGAGTGTCTAATAGAGTGGACAGTGAGTGGACACAGTGTTTAAAATCTCCAGCAGCACTGCTGTGTCGCGTAGCGTTTTCATCTGAGGAGTTTGCCGAGCTGCCATGTGTGCGACACGACGAACAAAGCCTCTTCGCGACGTCTGCGGTTGTTCGTTTTCTCCACAATTACATCATGTTGTTGTGAAGCCAGGCGAACGTCATCTCCACAAGAAGTATGCTGAGGCCTTAACGGTCAGATAATTGTGGGGATGTCCCTCATAGTAAAAACAGATGCTTGAATGAGGTTTGAAACTGCTTCTCTGTAATTATTACATCTTTGTGTACTATTTAACACGGTAAACATTGCAATGTTCTTTCCTGTATTCCTGCATTGTTCTGCCATTTATCACAAGAACCCGACTGCAGGAAATATGATATATAAATGTATTTAATATTAAGACAATCTTAGATTTGAAATCTCTTTACAAATTGTAAATATAGTGTTTTTACATGATACAGTGGCGTAAAACTTTATTAGAAACTCCAACCTGAAGCACAGTTAGAAATAGTAGCCCATTAGTTACAAATTTTGTGTTAGTCATGGTCTAACTTTAACCAGTGGTCAGTTTCTGACCACATTATCTGCTCAACAGTGCTCTAATGGTCAGAAACCGACTGGTGATAAGTAAGGTTGAAGGATGTTGATATAGTGGACCTATAAGGTTGGAAGTGCCAGCGGATGAAACTACAAGCAAGGATTTTCTACATCAAGGTCTCTCATTAAGTGGATAATAATGTATACAGAATATATTAAGGGCCTAAAATCTCACCTTTCTGCCTGAGAACAGCATGCAGAGCTGGTGCATGGACCCTCCATTCTTGGTCAGCTCCTTCTTCAGGGTTTTGGGTGAGGGCAGTGTCCAGCCTCCTTTGTGGGCAGCGGCAGCCTCCAGGCAGTTGATAGCGTTGTCGGAGGTGAAGCAGGTGCCGCGGGGATCTTGCAGCAGGCTGCCCTCGCTGTGAGTGCGCCGGCGGAGAGAGTTCTGGACGCTAAGTCCTCCACCCCCTCCGTGCTTTTCGCAGGAAACTCCCTCCACCATGCTTCTCCGCTTACTGTCTCTGCGCTCCAGGAAGTTATCGTCGCTGTCTTCTTCCTCTTCCTCTTCCTCTTCCTCGTCCTCTTCGTCATCCTCATCGTACTCTTCGTCCGTGGCGGGTGAGGAGAGGGCGTCGGCGCTGAAGGAGCGATCTAGACGCAGTTCAGGGATGACGAAGGATGAAGAGGAGGAAGATGGAGGCGCATTGGTGTCTGGAGCTTCTGAGGCATTGTCTTCATCCACTTGCAGCTGCGGTTTTTCTCCCAACTTGCAGATTTCCTCTCCTTCCTCTCCTCCGTCCTCTTCTTCCTCCTCCATCAGAGTCTTCCTCATCTCTTCTTCATCCTCCTCTTCACCTCTGTCCTCCTTTTCCACACTTTTCCAGAGTTCGCTCAGGCTGCCCTCATTGCTCTTGCCGTCCTCTCCCTCGGTGGATGGTGGAGGTGTTGGAGGCACCAGGTGTCGCGTCTCGTCCAGCGGAGTCAGGAGCTCGCTGGGCTGCGGGCTGCTGGCCGTGGTGGCCGGGGCGTCCGACGGGCTGCCCAGAGAGCGCTCATCCTCTGAGGGGCGCCGGCGAGTCCCCGGATCACAACGTTCGTCCAGTTTTGGCTCCAACATCTGAGGAAACAGACAGAGCAAGGCCAGAATGAGGTCAAGTATCTGTAGAATGGGAAAAGCACCCTGAAGGAGAAGAAGAACACTTGGGGCACTCTTCGTAAGGCTACTTGACATCTACGTAAGCCATTTACGACAACTGACATAAACTTAACATTACATAAACATAACATTTCAAGAAAACATGATCACTTAGAAACATTTTGGTAAGCAACATGTCCCCTAACTGGGCCGGTCAGTATAGAAAAAAGCAGCTGATGAGAATAAAAATGGAAGTCAACCATGTGACGCGACAAGTACTGAGCACAAGTACATGCTGAAACCTAGCATAACAAACCAAAGAAGTCTATTCATGTGCTGACATGGAAAATTCAGAAAATACAAATCTCCTTTTTTTGACAAGATGTCTCAAGCAGATCTAAGTGCACTTTCTGTTCTGTTTTTGACACAAATAGTAGCTTTAGGATTGTAGAACTGTATAATCTGCTGTTGGTTTGCCCTTTAACACTGAGTGGAAATGCCTGAGGATGTGGATTTCATTATTTAAGGCCATTTTAGTGGGTTCTAACTGCACACGACCTCTGTTATTTCAATCTTTGTCTGGGCAAACCAAACCAAACTATGAGCATGTGTGTGTGTGTGTGTGAAGCTACTGTGCTTATGTTTACATGCACATGTGTGTTTGTTTTTGTTTATTTTCAGACCAAAAATGTACAGATTGCAGAAAAACTAGAGTAAAAAGTCATTTAAAATATAACAATTTAATTCCCATTCATGAATTTGTGCAACAGCTTTGGCTCAGAATTGTATAATACAAACGGGCACATATGGGTGCTTATATATTCATATAAACTATACTATACAAGGTATAATATATAAGTATTTGTACACTTACATATTTTGTATTGCTTTAATTTATTCACACTTATTTTTCTTTTTTATTCTTCTTTTTATCACTATTCTGATTTCTTTGCGGTCCTCAAAAATGTGTGAAAACACCCAAAGAGCAGGTGACTGTAACTGTACACCTACTTTTTTTATTTTCTGCATGAAAATAATTGAAAACATCTTCTACAGAGATGAGACTTGTGCACATTTTAATGCACAAAGACTTTGTTTACTTATTTACTAATCTTTTGCTGAATTTAACATACTGTAAAAAAATCATAAAATGTGGACTCTGCAAAAGTTATGGCATATATTTTATTTTTTCCAATATGTTTAACTCAAAATAAGGGTCATTCTACAGAAACGTCCATTTTCTATCTATCCATAGCAGTCACTGGTGTTACTGATCTTCATTGGTGTTACACATAAGAAAGGAAACACCAGAGACATTTTTAATGAACAATGTATTTTACAGAATGTCTGCTACAGAGAATCAAACCACATGTTGTTAATCATGGAATATCCACTAAAATATGTAATTTAATCCATTTGTATTTTATTTTTTCATAATTACCTCAGAATAAAGTCGGTCACGCCAGTGACTTCAGCAAAAAGCTTCATATGAAATCATGAGCTAAATGAGAAAATCTCTGATAACTGAAAGACACAGTGGACTCACCATGTGCTTTTCTTCACAGATCCTCAGAAAACAGGTAAAAGGAAGTTGAGTGATGTCATCAGTGTGACTTTTATTTCAAAATAAGAGATTTTTTATTACGCAGTAACACCAGTGACTCGACTCTTGGGGACCACAACTTTCACTATATATTTTATAATATTTATTTGGCATTTGTTTTCTTTGTGTCATTTAATCATATATTCCATAGTCATGTAGAGATTATTGTGGTTAAAATTGCAGAAAATGTGTTTTTTTTGTTCAAAATATGGCCTCAACCTTCACACATGACTGTGAGGACGAGCTCTTCTGTGGTGCTTGGAATTCTAGATAATTGATTTAAAAACTACATATACATACATATATACATCATCTAAACCGCTTATCCTTCTGGGTCGCGGGGGGGTGCTGGAGCCTATCCCAGCTGTCATTGGGCAGAAGGCAGGATACACCCTGGACAGGTCGCCAGTCCATCGCAGGGCATGATTTAAAAACTAATATTGCTAAATTGATGGCTGAAGAAGGTAAATAAGATTGTTTTATTTTAAAGTATAAATAAATTGTGACCCTAATATGTTTTTTTAAGTGTAATATATCTGTAAACGCTGCGGACACAAAAATGGACATTTCTGTGGAATGTCCCATAAAGAGTAATTGTGCATTGAAATGTGCACAAGTGTGTTCTCTGTAGAGACTGTGTTAACTGTTCACTTCAAAACATGTCATTTGATCAGGGGTGTTCAGACTTTTGCATACGACTATATATAGTAGACCTATAGGAGGGCAGAGCCATTGGCCAGTGAGGGTATAAGCTATGTGTAGTGAGTATAAGGGTTTGTATGCGGAGCACATAAAACAACCCGAACACATGTGTATGTACACCCACACCCAGCCAAACTGCCTATCATACATCATATTTATAGCAGACACACTGATGTCAAAACCCAGCGTCACTGTAACAGTACAGCTATGAAACCACATTAAAGACCTTCCAAATTTTTTGACAGGCTGTCCTCTGATCCCCAGTGACTCTCTCTCTCTCTCTCTCTTTCTCACATGAGCTAACCTTACAATTGCGTACTGTCAGCTGGCTCTTTCCAGGAGAGCTGCAACAATCCGAGGTATTCTTTTATGCCTGATTTGTAGTTCTCAGTATCCCATTTGTTCCATGCCACATGGCTGGAGATACGCTGCTTCAAAAAGGTCATGAGTGATGAAGGTTTAGTGAAACATTTACAGCACGTCCCACAGTCAACAGATAATAGCCACTGTGCAGGAACTAATGTGGACAGTAGTACCGGGTGTGAATGTAAATAGAGCTCATAAAAGTTTCAAACAGTTAATCTTCTGAACTTCAGTGGCAGAACCTAAAAAGACACAGCATGACATAATGTGTGTGCATATATATATATATATATATATATATATATATATATATATATATATACACACACACACACACACACACTGATCAGACATAACATTATGACCACCTCCTTGTTTCTACCCTCATTGTCCATTTTATCAGCTCCACTTACTATATAGGTGCACTTTGTAGTTCTACAGTTACAGACTGTAGTCCATCTGTTTCTCTGCATACTTTGTTAGCCCCTGGTCAGGACCCCCATGGACCCTCACAGAGCAGGTACTATTTGGGTGGGGGATCATTCTCAGCACTGCAGTAACACTGATGTGGTAGTGTGTGTTGCGCTGGTCTGAGTGGATCAGACACAGCAGTGCTGCTGGAGTTTTTAAACACTGTGTCCACTCACTGTCCACTCTATTAGACACTCCTACCTTGTCAGTCCACCTTGTAGATGTAAAGTCAGAGATGATAGCTCATCTGCTGCTGCACAGTTTGTGTTGATCATCCTCTAGTCCTTCATCAGTGGTCACAGGACGCTGCCCACAGGACGCTGTTGGCCAGATATTTTTGGTTGGTGGACTATTCTCAGTCCAGCAGTGACACTGAGGTGTTTAAAAACTCCAGCAGCACTGCTGTGTCTGATCCACTCAGACCAGCGCAACACACACTACCACATCAGTGTTACTGCAGTGCTGAGAATGATCCCCCACCCAAATAGTACCTGCTCTGTGAGGGTCCATGGGGGTCCTGACCAGGGGCTAACAAAGTATGCAGAGAAACAGATGGACTACAGTCTGTAACTGTAGAACTACAAAGTGCACCTATATAGTAAGTGGAGCGATAAAATGGACAATGAGCGTTATGCCTGATCGGTGTATCTGTGGAATTACCCACCTACCTCTACCTTTCAACAGGACAGAGATTGTATTCAGAATGGCCTCCATAGGACAGGTCTGTCCTGAGCGAGGTGCATACATGGATATGTTCTATTCTGAATAAGCTATTAGTCTGATTATTAACGGATTATCAGGCTGCATGTAATGTGACTAGTGTTTTCCCTTAGCTAAGAGGAACATCTGGGGGATTTTATGCAACGTCCTTAACAAATTTCCCTCGGTACGTGTAAGCATACCCTTAAGATTCACACTTAAGAGAAAAAACTTAAGGTGTTTTACGCAACCAGGCCCTGAAATACAGAGCAGGTTTCGGTCTGGAGCACCGAAGAATCCACAGATCGCTTTAGGTTTGATCCTGAAATAGTTATTTTGTCATCAACATGCCTAAATTAAAATCCAAAGGCGTGCGTCTCTGTACTCAACCCATTTTTAGAAAAACACCTCATTCTGGGGGTTTTCGAAGCCCATTCCCATCGGTCTCTTTGGCTGCCAGAACACTGCGGGGGAGACGATCTACTTCAGGAAATCTCTCTTAGAACAAATCCAGTTCATGCCAAAAGTGTCTGCACGCATTTATTACCTGACAAACAAGCGAAACACAAGATTATTTGCCAAAATGTCAGTGTTGGGATGTCACCCGGCTCCCCAGCACTCCACCTGTCGCTCTGCCTCTTCCTGACGACAGGTAGAGAGAGGGAGAGAGAGACAGAGTAGTAGAGAGCTTCTCTCCAAAGCTGCGTCTTCATCCGAGCATATGACAGGCTCCAGGTGGACTCTTTCACTTGTAGCCAAGTGAAGCAAAACCAATGAATCTTAAACAGACAACATCCTCTTCATGGCCAGAGTCTGTTAACAGCCGTATAAAATCATGTCCGTCCTGTTTTTCCTCTCTTTTTTCCAGACCCGTATCCATATTTGCCAAGATTAACTTTTGAAAACTTGCATTTCTACGTCGAAATACATTTGACACTAGCTTGCATCTCTTACAGGAGCTGTTAAAACAGCCATGGTGGCCTCCCTGATGCTACTTTGTAGGCTAGCTAATGTCTAAGTGGCTATTTCAGCTGGGTGTGGAATGATTGGATTGCGAAGCACTTTGCAGGGTTCACGTTTCAAAAAGCCAGGCGTAGATTAGCAAAATGAACCCAATTCTATTAGACATTTCCGTTTGCCGGAT